CTCTCCCTCTCCCCCTGCTTGTGTTCCCTCTCTCGCTGTATCTCTCTCTGTCAAATAAATAAAATCTTTAAAACATAATAATAATAATAATAATAATAATAATAATAATACTGAGTTGACAACAGAGTTAGTGAATTACTTAACTTGGACATATAATTTTGAAAATGATATGCTTTTGCTTCCAAGTCAAATAAATTCTTCTAAAAAGATGAACCACTTTTGTCATTAACTTAAAGGAAAATGAAATTTTGTACTTTAATTCAGTTACTGTAAAAATTTTAAGTAGGTTTAGAACAACTTGTTACATGAATCTACTTTTTCAACTGTAAATTTTATTAAATCTAAATACAGATCAAGTACTTCTGGTGAAAAGTTAACGTGTGAACTGAGATGTGCTATAAGTGTAAAATATATATCAGATGTTGAAGACCTAATGTGGAAAAAAAGAATATATAATGTCTCAACAATTTTGACATTGATTACATATTGAAATGGTAATATTTTAGACATAATGGGTTAAACAAAATATATTATTTAAGTTAATTTCATCTGTTTACTTTTTTTAATGTGGCAAATGGAATATTTAAAATTATATCTGGGATACACAGCAAAGGAAACATCAAAATGAAAAAGCAACCTACAGAACAGCAGAAAATATTTGCAAATCTTATACAAGCAGACCTCATTTTATTGCACTCCACTTTATTGCACTTCATAGACCCTGCATTTTTTGCATATTGAAGGTTTGTGGCAATCCTGAGTTGAACAGGTCTATCAACACCATTTTTCCAACAGTATTTGTGCACTTCATATCTCTCTGCCACATCTTGGTAATTCTCACAGTATTTCAAATTTTTCGTTATTATTATATTTGTTATGATGATGTGTGATTAGTAATTACGTTTTTGAATCTGAAAGCTCAGATGATGGTTAGCATTATTTAGCAATAAAATATGTTTTGATTAGGTTATTTGCATCTTTTTTAGATATAATGCTATTGCACACTTAATAGACTACGGTATGTTGCAAACATAACTTTCATATGCACTGGGGAACCAAACAATTCATTTTATTTGCTTCATTGCAATTTTCACTTTATTGCAGTGGTCTGGGGCTAAACCCTCAGTACCTCCAAAGGTATGCCTGTATCTGATAAGGGGTTAATATCCAAAATATATAAGGAATTCATCCAATTCAATATCACAAAAACAAATAACCCAATTAAATATTGGGCAAAGGCCCTGAATAGAGATTTTTCCAAAGAAGACGTACAAATGACCAACAGGCACATGAAAAGATGCTCAACATCACTAATCATCTAGGAAATATAAATCTTCTTCAATATTCCCTTGGTGATTTGGGGTCTTTTCTGGTTCCATACAAAGCTGGGGGCATCACGTTGCCTGACTTCATGTTATATTACAAAGCTGTGATCACCAAGACAACATGGTATTGGCACAAAAACAGACACATAGATCAGTGGAACAGAATAGAGACTCCAGAAGTGGACCCTCAACTCTATGGTCAACTAATCTTTGACAAATCAGAAAAAAATATTGGAAAAAAAGACAGTCTCTTCAACAAATGGTGCTGGGAAAATTGGACAGCTACACACAGAAGAATGAAACTGGACCATTCTCTTACACCATACCCAAAGATAAACTTTAAATGGATGAAAGACCTCAGTGTCAGACAGGAATCCATCAAAATCCTAGAGGAGAACATAGGAAGTAACCTCTTTGACATCGGTCACAGCAACTTCTTTCAAGACATGTCTCCAAAGGCAAGGGAAACAAAAGCAAAAATGAACTTTTGGGACTTCATCAAGATAAAAAGCTTTTGCACAGCAAAGGAAACAGTCAACAAAACTAAGGGGCAATCCACGGAATGGGAGGAGATATTTGCAAATGACACTACAGATAAAGGGCTGGTATCCAAGATCTATAAAGAACTTCTCAAACTCAACCCCCAAAAAAACAAATAATCCAGTCAAAAAATGGGCAGAAGACATGAACAGACACTTCTCCAAAGAAGACATACAAATGGCTAACAGACACATGAAAAATGTTCAACATCACTAGCCATCAGGGAAATTCAAATCAAAACCACAATGAGATACCACCTTACACCAGTTAGAATGGCAAAAATTAACAAGGCAGGAAACAACAAATGTTGGCGAGGATGTGGAGAAAGGGGAACCCTCTTACACTGTTGGTGGGAATGCAAGTTGGTACAGCCACTCTGGAAAACAGTATGGAGGTTCCTCAAAAAGTTAAAAATAGAGCTACCTTACGAGCCAGGAATTGCACTACTAGGTATCCACTCTAAAGATACAGATGTAGTGAAAAGAAGGGGCACATGCACCCCAATGTTCATAGCAGCAATGTCCACAATAGCCAAACTGTGGAAGGAGCTGAGATGCCCTTCAACAAATGAATGGATAAAGAAGATGTGGTCCATATATACAATGGAATATTACTCAACCATCAGAAAGGATGAATACCCACCATTCTCATTGACATGGATGGAACCGGAGGGGATCATGCTAAGTGAAATAAGTCAATCAGAGAAAGGCAATTATCATATGGTTTCACTCATATATGGGACATAAGGAATAGCACAGAAGACCATAGGGGAAGGGAGAGAAAACTGAAGGGGGGGAATCAGTGAGGGAGACAAACCATGAGAGACTATGGACTCCAGGAAACACACTGAGGGTTCCAGAGGGGAGGGGGTGGGGAGATGGGGTAGCTGGGTGATGGGTATTAAGGAGGGCACGTGTGTGAGCACTGGGTGTTATATGCAACTAATGAATCATTGAACACTACATCGAAAACTAATGATGTACTATATGGTGGCTAACTGAACATAATAAAAAATAACAATAATAAAATAAATAAAACAAATAAAATGTTAGAAGCTTAAAAAAAAGAATATAGATCCCAAAATAAAAAAATAAAATGAAATAAAATAAAATTAATGTAAACAAAAATACATAAAGTATATATGTAAAATAAAAATTAAAAAATAATAAAAGATAAAAAGGAATTGGGAAATATAAGAAAATTAATGAAAAAATCATTAAAAATATAGAATAAAAGTGAAAAAAATAAAATGTCTTTTAAAAAAGGAAATATAAATCAAAACCACAATGAAATATTACTTCAAACTTGGTAGGATGGCTATTATCAAAAATACAGGAGATAACACGTTTTGGCTAGGATGTAGAGAAAAGGGAAAACACTACTGGTGAGAATGTAAATTGGCACAGCCTCTGTGGAAAACAGCATAGAGATTTTTCAAAACATTACATATAGAACAATTACCTGATCTAGCAATTCCACTTCTGGGTATACATCCAAAGGAAATAAAGTCACTATCTCAAAGAGAAATCTGCACTCCCATGTTCAGTGCAGCATTATACAGTAGCCAAGATATGGAAGCAACCTAAGTGTCCGTGGACAGATGCATGGATAAAGAAAATGTGGTATATATGTACACAATAGAAGATTATTCAGCCTTACAACAGAAGGAAACCATGGTATTTGCAACAACATGGATAAACCTGGAGGACATCATGCTAAGTGAAAAATACCGGGCACAAAAAGACATTATATGATCTCACTTATATGTGAAATCTAAAAAAGAGAGAGAGAGAGAGAGAGAGAGAGAGAGAGAGACAAGAAAAAAAGTCAAACTCATAGTAACAGAAAGTAGAATAGAATGGTGATTACCAGATTACCAGAAGCTAGGGCAGGCCTGGGGGGGGGGGGGGGCGGGGAGGAGAGATATTGATCAAAAGGTACAAACTTTCAGTTATAAGATGAATAAATTCTAGAGACCTAGCATACAGCATGGTGGACTATAGTTCATTATAATGTATTGCGTACTTGAAATTTGCTAACAGAGTAGATCTCAAGTGTTCTTAATACACACACACAAAGTGGTAATGGTGATTAATATGTTAATTAGATCATGGTAATTATTTCAAATATATACATTTATCAAAATCATCTACACCTTAAATATCACTTACATCTTAAATATGTACAATTTTTGTCAATCGTACCTCAGTAAAGCTGGAATAAAATAAAATAACATCTGTGATTCATAGTACATTTCTTTTGGATAGCACTGAACTTAAACTAGAACTATACACTATATACGCTGTGATCACAGACCTGTGACTGGCTACCGGTAGGTACAAGCCTCCCCCTCCTTGTGTTCATAAATTCAATGTGCTAATTGCAAGAATCAAATGGGTTAACATGTGCAAAGTGCATAGAAGGGGGTATGGTACCTAGCAAGAACTATTAAGTTAGCTATTATTATTGTTATAAGCATTTTTTGGTGTTATTAGTATTATTAACCAAAATTTCTAAAAAGACAGTTTAGCAGAAAAACACCTTTCGCAGAGAAATCAAGTAGAGTAATGCTTGGCCCAGATGAAATAATGCTCACAGCACCAGTAAAAGACCAAACTGCAAAAGGCGGGGGCCCTCTGGAATCGGTCCAAGCAGGACCCTGACTAGGGTGAGGCGAGTGAGGCATTTCCCGTGGTGCAAAATTTAAGCGGGCACTGAAAAACTCAGGACTCAGGAGGAATAGTATTCCAATGTACTTGTTTCGCTAAATCCAAATTAACACAGGTCCACAGCGAACCAAATACGAAAATCGTAAATAAAGACCGAGGCAGGACCACTGGCTTCTCACTTCGCCCCAGGCTTCAAAGTGGCTCAGAAAGATACACTGTGAGCTGATCCTGCCTCTGTAGCCTCACGCTTGGCCCCACCTCAGCCCAACTCACAGTCTCCGCATAAAGGGAGCGCAGTCCACACAGCGGGGGCGTTGTGCCTGGAACAGCAGTGACGAAAGGCTTTCCGTTCTCTCACGCAATAGACCAACCGCTAAGGAAGCATCCGCAGCCTGGCGGGATCGGGCGCGTGCTGGGACCCGGGGCCTGCAGGGAACTCCCAGGCTGCCCTGCAGCCCTTACCGGGATGCTCGGCGGCGGCGGCGGCGGCGGCGGCGGCGGCGGCGGAGTCACAGCCAAAGCCAAGCCAAAGTCAAGGCCGTTGCCAACTCCTCTGACGGCCCGCAGTGCGCGTCTGGCAGAAGCGCCACCATGGGCTTTTCGTGGAATGACAACATCTCAAGCTGGAGTGCTTTGGGCTCCGCTGTCAGTGGCGCCCTGGACATCCTGGTGATGGTCTCGTCCTTCCTGTTGGTCCTGGGCATCGGGCTGTGGGTACGTCGGGGCCCGGAGGGGAGGGCAGGGCCCTGGACACCAGGCTGGGTGTGACCCGCTCCGTGCCAGTCACCTGGCCCCCACCTCGCGTCCCGCCCCACCCATCCCTGTCCTGGCCTGTGCATAGCCCACCGAGGAGACCTCTCCCCGCTCCCTCTGCCCAGCTCCTCCCCTCCCTTACAGCCAAGAGTAAATAAAGGCAGGTCCTCAGAAACGGAGCCATCCTCTACTAACCCCACGTTTCCTCACCGCCTCCCGAATAAACAAGCAGGCCCAAATCCCCCTGTGCCTGCTGCCTGGAACCTAAGCGGTGTTTGGCAAGCAGTCACTGTTAGGGTGGTAATAATGACAGCTAATGCTGATTAGGCCCTTAAGTGCCAGGTCTGTCCTGAGTGCTTTAAGTTCATCGCATCCTCACAACCGTGCTGTGAATAACATACTGTCATTCCCTCCAGTTTCACAGTTGAAGAATCTGAGGTTCAAAGAGGTTCAGGAGCAACCAAGGAATGATTGTGTTCAGGTTCAACCCTAGAGTTGCCTGATCTGACTCATGAGCTTAACCCCTTTGCCTTGCTAGCAAAATCTCAAAGGTCACATGTAACTTAGGGCTCTAAGCATTCCCTCTAAATTTGAATGAAAAGTTGTTGTTGTTGTTGTTTCTTCCTACAGGGTTCTCTTAAGAGGGCGGAGAGCATGTCTCCTTTACTGCCATATGCCCACTAGGGCTTAGCATATAAGCACTCAGGGCTTTTAACCATACTACCCAGAGACAGGCCCTGCCTAGGAGGGGCCTGCCTGTGTTCCAGTTAAAGCTCGGATGGATATGAAAGCTTTGGCTGGTGTCATGATGTCACCCCTCGGGTAAGCTGTTAGCAGTCAGAAGCTTCTGCCGGGCCTGCTTCACCAAGCAGGAGTGTCTGGTGACTGCCACCATTCACTAACCAGTGGGAAAGTCCTCATTCTGGGTGGCCCCCACCCAGCTGAAGCTTTTCATGCCCATGTGACCTTCACTTTGAGACATTTCACCAGATCATGAACAGGATCTTACTGTGCGGAGTCTGGCCTTTCAAAGTGCAATCATTGGACCCTCCTTTTGAGGGCTTACAGTAAGTCATTATGCTGCTAGTAAGCAGATAAAGGAATGAAGGTCTCCATCCTATTAAGAGAATTTTATACCAGGAGAGAAAATATAGGCCCTTTATTCCAAACATAAAGGAGAAATCCGGGGTATTTATCCAGATCATTCGAACAAAAGATTTTTTAAAAATTGGCCTCAATTATGAGAAACATATTTAAGTGGCCTATGGACACAGGGGCTCTGAGTAATGGGTACTTGTTTTGGGATCCTTCCCCTAGTGTTCGTATTGAATGAGGAAGCCCCCACCCAGCTTTCTTCCAGGCCTAGTTGGGGCCTAAGTCTGGTCAAGGTCAGAGGACTAGTAAGCCATCTGGTCATTTCCAAAAGAAACCTCCTGTTCCCTTCTGTTCTTCTGGGAGCCATAAAACATGCACAGTTATCCAGAATGCTTCAGTCTTTTTCCTTCTTTATATTAGTATCTTTCCATTTGTTCTTTTTGAAAATCATATATTGTTTTTAATTAGGAAAGTATTACATGCTTACTGTAAGACGTAAAAAGATGCATAAATAAGGAATGTTACTATTCTTCCCCCAGCCATGCCCATCCTTCTGAGGTAACCATGGGTCGTGTATCCTTCCTCCCCTTTCTTGATGCGTATGCAAGCATGCAGATACATACATAGAGTTTTTGTCTTTTGTCTTTACAGAAGATGTGATCATATCATACACATCACACTGCAGCTCACTTTTTTCCCCACTTACTATATATGGAGAGAGTCCTATAGGTCAACAGATAGAGATTCAGCTTATGTTTTTATTAGCTGCCTAGCAGTCCTACAAACATGTGTACTCTTAACCTCTTCCCTACTGAGACTTAGATTGTCGCTGGGTGTTGTTTCTGATGTATTGGTGCTTTTAATCTGTGTAGCGTGGGTTCCCGAAATTAGAACCGCTGGATCAAAAGTATACGTTTACCTGAAATTTAGTAGATATTACTAAATGCCAACCCCCAAAGCTTATTGAGATTTACTTTACTTTTCTCACAAGCAGGATATGATCATGCTCTTTTCCCCAAGATTCGCTTATTACTGCTTGTGTGTGTGTGTCTGTGTGTGTGTGTGTGTGTTGCCAGCCTGATGGGTGAATAGTGGTTTGTCGTTGTAGCTTTGATTTGCACTTCCTAGACTCCTGTTGAGGTTGAGCATCTTTTTCTTTTTTATTCTTATGTTAATCCCCTACATTACATCATTAGTTTTAGATGTAGTGTTCCATGATTCATTGTTTGTGCATAACACCCAGTGTTCCATGCAGAATGTGCCCTCCTCAATACCCACCACCAGGCTAACCCATCCTCCCACCCCCCTCCCCTCTAGAACCCTCAGTTTGTTTTTCAGAGTCCATTGTCTCTCATGGTTCGTCTACCCCTCCGATTTCCCCTGCTTCATTCTTCCCCTCCTGCTACCTTCTTCTTCTTCTTCTTCTTCTTTTTCTTAACATATATTGCATTATTTGTTTCAGAGGTACAGATCTGAGATTCAACAGTCTTGCACAATTCACAGCGCTTACCAGAGCACATACCCTCCCCAGTGTCTATCACCCAGTCACCCCATCCCTCCCACCCCACCCCCCACTCCAGCAACCCTCAGTTTGTTTCCTGCGATTAAGAATTCCTCATATCAGTGAGATCATATGATACATGTCTTTCTCTGTTTGACTTATTTCAGAGGTTGAGCATCTTTTTATGAGTTTATTGTCCATGGATTTTCTTCTCCTGTGAGTAGCCAGTTTATTTGTCATTTTGTATTTGGGTTGTTTGACTTTGCTTTTATCAACTTCTCTGTCATTTCACTTGCTCATATGTTTTCCCCAAGCTATCATTTGTCCAGACCAGTGTCTACCACTGATATTTGGGACCAGATAATTCATTGTGGGCATCTGTCCTATATGTTACAGGATGCTTGGAAGTATCCTCGACCTCTACCCATTCGCAACCAAAAATGTCTCCAAACATTGCCAAACATTCCCTGGGTGGATGGGGCAAAAATCACCTCTGATTGAGAACAGTGGTCTGAACTGTTAATGGTGTCTTTCTGTCATTTGAGGTTTTGTTAACTTTGAGGAAGCAACTATCTCTCTTTTCCTTTGTATCTTGTAGATTTCCTGCCTTGCCTAGGAAATTTTTCTCCCATTCCAAAGTCATACAAATATTATCCTAAATTTCTTCTAATATTTTATAGTTTTTTTCATATTTAAGTCTCTAGGACATCTGAAATTTATTTTTATGTATGATGTGATGGATGAGTCTAGCTTTCTTTTCTTCCAGTTATTAAACCACCCTTTTCTCACTGAACTGATTGCCCACATTGGCACAGATGGGACTCCTTTCTGAAAGCATTCATCAATTCCTGTCTGCTGAGGCCCCAGGGAACTGAGAAATCTTAGTCTTTGCTGCTGGTGCCTTGGCTCTTACAGGATGGTCAAGGGGGAAAAACTTACACTTTTTTTGGTTTGTTTTCTCTTTTATCAGTGTCAGCCCAGAGATCTTTGAGAAAGTGTTGGCAGTATCTTCTTCCCCACCAACCTGGCTACTGTGGTTATGTTTTTTTTTTTTTTTAAGATTTTTATTTATTTATTTGACAGAGAGATAGAGAGAGAGCACAAGTAGGCAGAGTGGCAGGCAGAGGGAGAGGGAGAAGCAGGCTCTCCGCCGAGCAGGGAGCCGGACATGGGGCTCGATCCTAGGACCCTGGGATCATGACCTGAGCCAGAGGCAGCCGCTTAATCGACTGAGCCACCCAGGTGCCCCTGTGGTTGTGTTATTATTCCAGAAAGAGAGCACGGAGGAAGGAGGAGGCAGGGACAGATGCCTAAGCCACCTTCTTCCCAGGATCTCCTCTTCTTACTGTCTGGTCCTCTCTTTCCATAAAGAGAGGATACTTTTATTCATGGAAACTCCTTTTAAAAGTTTTACTGCTGATACCTTCCTTAGAAAAGTTCAGCTCTGCACATAACAAGCCTTTGATAAATATTTAGTGAATAGATGAAGTGAGACTAACTTAAAGCGTCTGATTTGGAGGGTTGTTTCTGTGGCTTAAGGCTTTATGATGCAAGGGGACCCTACTATAATGCAGATACCTCAGATGGCAGTTTTTAAGTTCACTCTTCCCATGGAAACACTGTCAACTAGCTGTCATCCTTAGGTCGTGCTGGTTCTACCCAATCCAGGAAATCCGCAGGATTGTCTTTTGACCACATCGGAGTCTGGGAATCAGAGCTGGGAGCCTGAGTAAAGAGGACATGGATGTGTTGGAAGGACACCGTAGTAATGGCAGAGTGACTCCTGTCCTGGGAGAAGCTAGGCACATGTTCAGATTTGCCATTCCTGACTGATCCAGACATTTGCTAACCACTTATCTCCCAGACTCCGCTGGAGACTATGGCACTGGTTAACTAGTTGGGAAAGACTAAAGCAATATTATTTTCCCAAGAGTGTAGAGAAATGGAAACGTCCATGCAATCAAACCTGAAAGAGACTGTAACCTCCAGCTAGGCAGCCATGAGCCTTCGCTTTAACTCAGTGGGTAGGGGCTTCTATTCCTAAAAAGGAAGAAGGGGAGAATGGATTTGGGGGTCTCTGCTAAAGAGAAGTGAAGGTGATGGTTTGAGAGATCGGTGTTTTTGGAGCAGTTTGTTTCTTGTATTCCTTTGTTTGTTTTTAAGGCTATCCTGTCAAGCAATCGCGGGACAGTAGAAGACTTCTTCCTGGCTGGCCAC